AAAAAAGAAGAGTAAAGCTTTTCTGACATTTAGAAGCTGCTTCATACTGAGTCAAATCATAATTCAGCTAGCCCAAGGGAGCTGCTCTCTAAGGTCGCAGGCAGGACCTGTTCCAGTCCTAACTGGAGATGCCAAGATTTGAATAGGGACCTTCTGTAGGCAGACTGGATTTGCTTTGCTCATCTAACCTCGGTCACCAACACTGACTGGCAGCTGTTCCCATGATTTCAGCAAGGATTTCTTTCAGCCTCACAAGCATTTCAAGGGTCCAGCTAAGATCCTTTATTAGGCAAACCGTAAACAGGAATTTGCCATCTACTGAATCTGATCCAGTCCATTTAATTTCTGTTGCTGACCCTGACTGGCAGCCCGTGAGATTCTGCAATTCAAACTAGGATCCTTTTCTGGGGAAAGGGGAAACGATTTTACGCCTTGGCTATTTAACTCAGTCTTACCAATACTGGTTGGCAGATGCTTTCCAAGCATTCTTGACCACATTTTTTCCTAATGGGAGATGCCAAAGGTGAAACGTGGGACTTTCTATAGCCAAAGGACTTCGTCCTGTACTGAAGCAGATTGTCTGTATCGCCTCTATTGCTGACACCGACTGGCAGCAGCTGTCCAAGGTTTCGAGCAGGAGTCTTTCTAACTCTCTCTGGAGATGTCAGGGATTAAACCTAGGGCCTTTGAAATGGTGAATGCGTGTTATACATTGCCACTGAGATGGGGGCCCTTTCCTTAAGGGGAAAATAAAGGAACCCACTGGCATTTCCAAACGGGATGTGACAAGCACCTGATGCAAGAATGATAATTATGCCGTTTGGCCCCCACCCGCTCCAGAAGTGCATGGGGATTACTTACAACTCCTTGGTTGCCAACTGCTAGTTCCAGGTGTTTCTTCTGGTGCTTGGTCTTTAAGACTGTTCTAAACGTGGAAAGAACTAGGGGCAGAAGACTCTGCTGATGATTCAGAAGTTGGCTGACGATAAAGTTGTTAAAGCAGATGAAGTACCAATAGATGAAGGCATTGCCCATCCTATATAACAGAGCAAAGGCTCTGGGGCATGAACGTTGAGAGCAGATTTTGAACTCTTTGGCTGATCTCTTGTTAGGCAGATATAACCTATGCAATGCCAATGGGCAAGTCTTTTATAAATAAAGCACATTAATAACAATCTACACTGTGTGTTGTATTTCCGAAAGAGCCTTTGAAGAAGTACCCAAGGCAGGTGTAACTTCAATCCATGAGAAAATAGCTTTGTTTCCTAATGCTGGGATATCTTGCTAATCAGTAATATGCCTACATCAGCAAAACTAGTATATGTGTGTATGTATATCCACACACATGCATACATGTACACACACACACACACACACACTTCTTACTTTAGTTATGATTCTCTTCTGAAAAAAAGCTTCAATAGCAACTTAAAAAAAAAAAATCCAAACTCAGCTTGGCGCATTTTGAAAAACATTCAGCAGAAGCACTTCAGACTTATCACCAGGGTAGCATCTAGCCATTAAAGTAGTCCTTAAAATTAAAAAAAAAAAGCTGCTTGAATTCACTCATTAAAGTTGAGCACTACCTTATAAAGGTTTGTGCAGAAGTCAGGAAGCAGAATAGCAGAGGGGTGCTGGGCTCATAATTCCACAGCGCTGTGGCTGAACCATTTTCAAAATGTGAACAGGCTTAATAGGAGATACTACTGCTCCTCTTGAAAAGGTGGTGTATAAAGTTAGTTATTTATTTGAATTTCTTAGCCGCCCAACTCCAACGGACTCTGGGCTGTGTACAAAACTGGAAAAGCCATAAAAATCCAATTAGTCAACCAATAACATCTTTATCGGGTCAAACAAAAGTTCACCGGATTCTGTGCAAGCTTTTGATTTCCAGAAATTCATTTTGCAATGGTAAAATCCACAGGCTTTCAAAATTCCATTATTATACCCTATAGCAATAAAGTAGCATTCCTGGAAACCCTACAGTGTCTCATTTGTGACCTGGCCTTCCTCAAAAGGCTGACATCAAAAGCTTCTCCAAGTTTCTCTCTGTCCCATCTCGTGCTAAACAAAATCAAGGCACTGTTATTTTGAGTTTCTTCCTCACACATCCCTGTTTTTCAGGACTGTGTCATCTTTTCTGCAAGTCCCCCCGGAATGGCTTTTCCCTTTTTTAGAACCACAAGGTCAGTTCTAAATTCCTTTGCGACAGTAGAAAGGAAGAGAAAAAATGTTCAATCTGTGCTTCCCCTAGGTTTTTTTTTAATTGTTTGTTTTTTGTGTATTACAGAAGCTTTTATGCTGCTTCAGTTATACTTCTAGATGAAATGGGGAAGAGTCTCCAGATCTGTACAAATTAGAACTTCTTAGCTACAGTGCAGAAGTTGTGCTGGGTGCCTAAGGAATTTCCTTATACCCAGCTAAGAAAGAGAATAGTGATCGCCACCACATCTTGGATAATATAAACAGGGATTGAGTCAACATTGTTTCCATTGTATATCAGTTGTATAGATCCCTCAGTAGGTGGAGAACATGAATAGATCCTTCAGTAGGTGGAGAACATGTACTGGAATGCTACATACTTAAAATTGTCATGTGCTCAATTACTCTACAATGCTCAGAATGCTAAACCCAAAACCACATTCAACCATGGCCACCAGTTATGGTCAGGTGCCGCTATAACGTCTTAATTTTGGCCTTTCGGGCATTGCAATATGGTCTTGCTCCCTACCGATCTTTATCCTAGAGCAGGTATATCCCCGTAAGATCTACTTGTTTGGCACTTTTGGCTGTTCCTGCTCCTCTGACCACAAACTCAAGGTTTAGGAACTAGTTCCACAGCTTTGGAATGGACTCCCCTTTGCTCTTCAGATGACAGATAACTTTTCCTTCTTTAAATCTGGGCTTAAAGCTTTCTTGTTTGACTCCAAGGAAGATGGGGGTACCTCTGATTGGGAACTTGTAGTTTCTGGATTGGCCCCTGTGACTTGTCCCTTGGTTTTATGCATGACTTAATTTTAATGAACTTTACACTAGTTACATTGCAAACAGGTGTTACGGGGTCTGGTTTATCTATTCTTTCTGTTGCAAAATGGTGACTTGATTGGTAACATATCATATCTTTTACTTTTGTATATTCTAATTTGATACATCCTTTACTGTTCTGCATTTAGTTTTTAGTAACATCAATAATAGTAATAATGGCTGTGTTTATGCAGTGGCCTAGGTGTGGCTTAAGGCGATAGCTAAGTTTAACAAACCTGTTTGAACGTCATGTGAGAAGCTGTGTGATGTAGTTGTTGAAGGTGTTTAATTAGGACTGTGAAGATCCAGACTGAGGACCACTTTCAGCTATGGAAGGTTAGCGGGTGACCCTGGGCCACTGTCTTTCAGCCACACCATATCAAAGGGGGGGGGGGCATTATTGTGGATAATGAAAACAACAGAGGAAGTAGTGTTAAAAATGCCACCCTGAGCTGCTCGAACAACAGTGAGATATCACTCTAACAAAACCAAAAAAAAACCCTCGGATTGGTTTGGTATAGCTTTTGAGGTTTGGAATCTATAGTATATGACTGATGTAGTTCTCGATGCATGTTCTGATATGTAATCACTATCAATTTTTTCAAAGCAGCAATTGCAGAGGGAATCTTGCTGTTAAAGAGCAGCGACTATCCTGCTAAGACAACTGTCAAACTTAATTAAATTGTGAAGGACATTTTCAAAGGAAAGCTCCATGTGTGTTAATGTGAAATGGTTGGTGACATGCTGTCACTGGATCCCACATAACCCTGTGCAATTAGGTGATGATTCAGGGTGCCCCCCTGCTAGAGAAGTGCATTGAGTGAATGATGGTTAAATTGAGCAAACACAACATATCACTTAGTACAGTGTGTGCATCGATTCCTTTAGTATAGACATCACCATAGAGGAATCTAGAGTAATTAGTTTATGGATTGTTAGACAAGCAGTGAGCTGATTGTGACCTGGATGTTCATATAGGACACCTTCAACCAATCAAGCTCCAGGCCCATCTGGCTCCATTAGAAGCCTGTGGAAGTTGGTGGGGGGATGTCTTGGAATCCGTCACCTCATAAGGCAAGAACATCTGCCTGAAACATCACAAAAAGAACTGTACCCAAGACGCTGGAGCATTATGGTAACTGAGGATTGGACAAGGATTGGTTGGGTTCCGTTAGGCAGGGACAAATGAAACTGATAGGAGTACCTCCCCTCTCTTTTGTCATATAAGATGGGGTCCAAGTGTACCCATTCACATGGGAGCTTTTGTAATGCACCATGCTTACACACCCTTTTCCCCTTTTCCTCTGAGCAACTCTGCAAATCAGCCTTTGGATTGATCAGTTCTGCTGGCAAGAATCAGATTGCTTGGTAGCACCAGCATGTTTTCTACCAACCAGCTGTTCCTGTTGATTGGGGGAGAAATGTGCAGTTCATCTGGAGTTTTATCTACTGAACTCGCAGAGCCACATCCAAAAGTTGGCTGCAGTTAATCTATGTTCCTGTAAGCCCTGCTCCCAAGGACAGACATCACTCTAGAGTCTGCCTTCTATTCCCAAGAAAGCCTTTGCTTCTGATTCCTTAGACAGGCACTCGTATC